ATAGTAAGTTCACATACTATTATATATGTTTTCTCTATTTTGCTTATTTGCTAAGGAGGAAGGCCAAGAAATATACTCCTAGAATACATGCCTAACATATGGATCAATAACTACTAAGTGTTTTATATTGATCTACTTTCCAACTCTCAAAGTTTGCAGTCCTATCTAAATTTCCTTCTTATATTCCTCATTGACTAATCTTCGTTTTACAAATTTTCCAGATTAAAACTGTAACTTATTATTTTTTCCCATAGATCTTAGTAAACCAATAGTTTCAGTCAGTTCTGTTCCTAAGGTAGAAAATTATTCCTTGCAAGTAAGGTGGAATAAAATGGTAGAGAGAGAGGGCATGAATGCCCTTCCCAACTTAGATGTCTCTTATTTGTATAAGAGACTTCTTATACACAGGCTGCAAATTTTTAACATTTTTTTACTTTTACTATGCAAATTAATGGTAAAATAAAACAATTCAAGCTACTTAAGTATTTAAAATATTTGAAGTAAACAGCAGAAAACTATAGGAACATTATAGGCAAAAAAATCTTGCTCTTAAAAGTTTCCAACCAGTAGTTAAAATGCTCAGCAATACAAGTACACAAGAAATGTTCCAGAGAAAACTGTTAATAGCTACAAAAGAACTTTTCCACCAAAAACAGATTTTAAGGTTTTATTCCTTGTGATCCAGCTTCTTTCCCAACCACTTCAATTACCTAATTGCCTCTTCTCAGAACTCATCTGAGCTGATCTCTATAGAGAACCCAAAACTGTTGAAAAAAGCTTTATAGCATAGCAGAGTCCTTCAAACTAGACTGCCTGAATTTGAATCTCAACTCTACCAACTCTACCATGAGCTGACATTTTGGTTAAGTTACTTAAGCTCAAGTCTTAATATCATTATCTCTAAAATAGAGATAATAGTAACACTAATTCTGAGTTCTTAAAAGAACATACAACATGTTTAGAACAGTGCCTGGCATGTATTAAGTTCTCAAGAAATTATGAGGTATCAAGAGCTTAATATCAGAACATGAATAAATGAGACTCGTCAAGGTGCTAGTAACACCAGAATGAATAAAGATTCTTGCCCTCAGAAAGCTCATATTTGGGGGAAATAGCAGATAATAAAGAAGCAAAAAATATATAGTATGTTAAATAGTGAAAAGTGGTATGGAAAAAAATAAAGCTGGGAAGCATGGTTACAGTTCCAGACAGGGTGACCTTACTGAGAGGGTGTCAGTAAGACCTAAAGAAGATGGGGGAATAAGTCAGCACTACATGGGGAAGAGCACTCAAAACAGAGAAAACAGCAAGTCCAAAGCCCTAAAGCAGGATAGTCCTTGGTTTATGTGAGGACTAGCAAGGAGCAAAATGTAGTTGAAGCAGATGGAGGTGAAGAGTTGTAGAAGGTATGGTCAGAGAGATTAAAGAGAGGGGTGGAGAAGTAACATAGGGCCTTTTAGGCTCTGGCTTATCCTGAGAGATAACACTAAAAGAAGGCTTTGGGCACAAAGATGACATGATCTCACTTACATTTTAACTCTGGTTTCTGCGTGAAAAAAGACCAAAGGGGAAGGGGATGCAAAGGAGGAAACAAGGAGACCACATAGGAGACTACTGCAATAATTCAGGTGAGAAATGGTGACTTGGACCAGGAAGTAGTGAGTGGTGGCTGGATCCAGATATACCTTGAAAAAGCTGACAATATTTGCTAATAGTTTGGATGTGTGTGTGGGGGGGGGGAGGGGGAAATGTGGTGCGGGGACAGGGAAGAGGGAGGGAGGCAGAACAAAACAAAGTAGTCAAGAATGACTCCAAAGTTCTTGGTCTGGGGACTAGAATACAGTTGCTGTTTATTGAGAAGCAGCAGCAATTTGGGAGATGGGAGGAAGATCAGGAGCTTATTTTTGACACACATTCAAATGGAGCTGTTGAATAGATATAGGTGTTATGAGAGCAGTCTATACTGGAAAAACAACTGAGTCATCAGCTACCACAGAGCACTTAATGCCATGAGACTGGAAAATGATGGTGGATAAAAAGAGAATTGAGCCTTGAAACATTCCAAAACTCAGAGGTGAGGGAGATGAGAAGAAACCAGGAAAAAAAAAAAAAAAAATGAGGAGGAGTCAAAGAGGTAAGAGGAAAGCCAGGAGAAAAACACTTTGAAAGTGATTTAAGATGTGATGGTGGTAAGTTCTGCTGATGGGTTAATATCATCAGTAAGTCTTATTGTTTCTATCTCCAAAATATATCCTGAATGGTTCCCATTTATTCTACCCAGCTTTATCATTCATCCCGCTTATAAACTATTTTCCCCACCTCAGAGAACTATTCTCTACCCCAGGGGTCCCCAACACCTGGGCCTTAGACTGGTACCGGTCAGTGGCCTGTTAGGAACTGGGCCGCACAGCAGGAGGTGAGTGGCAGGCGAGAGAGAGAGAGAGAAACTTCATCTGTATTTGCAGCCACTCCCCAGCACTAGCATTACCACCTCAGCTCCACCTCGGATCATCAGGACATATATTCTTAAAGGAGCACTGGTTCCTGGTGTCAAAAAGGTTGGGGACTGTTCTCTATACGGTGATCTTTTAAAAACATAAATCATATATCAATACTCTATTTATTCTTTGTCTTCTACTGCATATAGAATAAAATCTAAACTGTCTTTGGCCCACATGGCTTTTTATGATCTGATCCCTGTCTCACTTACTGACTTCTTTATTCCTGTGTTACTCTTCACATTAATTTATATCTCACGCAAACATTCATTTTGTTCTTACAACACATCAGTGCCATTCATTGCCATGGCACCCCATCTCTTATACACAGGATGGACTCTCCTGGCTTTTCATCTTTTGAACATTTAGGTCTCACAGATCAAATACCTCCTTAGAGAGGCCTTGCCTAACTGATCTATCAGGATTGAAAATTATAACATTTGTCCTTTTAGTTGTATATTGGTCCATCTGCCCTCAGATAGTAAATTATTCAAGGACAGGTATTACTGAATCTATATTACATCACTTAAATCTTTGCATATAGTAAGCGTCAGTAATTATGTGACAAAATGTCAGTCTTTTGAAACCAAAGAAATATTATCAAGACATTGTTTAACATTTACACAATGCAGGTATCATTTCTACATCATCCCTGACTGGGTCATCATTCAAGAACATTTTGAACATCTCCAGTGACAGCAAGCTTATTATCTCATGAAGCAGTTAATCCCATCTTGGGACAGCTCCACTTGTTTGAAGAGTCTTCTTTATACTAAATTAAACCTCTCTTCATGTAATTTCCACCCATTGCCCTTTGGAGTTATACCAAGTAAGTCTAATTCCTTGTATAAATCCAGACCTATACATTTTAGAAAACAGTTGTGGTTATTTCCTACATCTTTTTTTTGCAGGACAAATATTATCATTTCTTTCAACAGTTCTTCCAACCTCATCTTTTCTAAGTCAGTTTGGAAAATTCTTAATTTATAAATTTTCATCTCAAAATAGAGACTCAAAACTTAACACAGTTCCTCTCCCATTTGCTTTGACTGGCGTAGAGTCAGTGAAATGAATATCTTAGTCAATCTAAAATCACACCGTTATTCATGAAAGCATAATGACTATTCTAATAGTTCTGAAAGAAAGCTCGTGATTAACTAAAATCTCCAGTAATTTTCATAAGCACTGCTATAAATGCAAAAGCCTTCCATTCTGTAGATGTGAAGGTATTTTCTAAACAACTAGGTATGATATTTTATATCTACCCCAGTTAAAAATATTTTGTTACATTTAGTATAGTGTTCCATGTTATTTTAATCTTTGAATCCCAACTCTGTACTTCACCATAATGAAGATCTCCCCAAATTTTGTGCCATCGGCATATCTGATAAGCATGACTTTTATGACAACATGCAAATCACTGACAAAAATATTTGCATAAACTTAATCAAACACTGAGTCTCATAGCATAACAACATAACATTACAGACCTTTTTCCCTGATTGATACTGACATTATGTGTGGTTCAATGAACTATTTGTAACTCCCTTAACAGCTTCTTGGCTGCAAAAAATATCATGAAAGACATTATTAAATGCTGTTCTAAGTCCAAGATGCTCTGTGAAAATAAAGCATTTTATTAGCAAAGATTGCTTTTTATCATTTCATTTTGGATATGTAGGCATATCATTATATATATATATACACATACATATATATATACATATATATATATCTCGCTATATATAAATTATGTACATCAATTTGATCCCATGGATATCTACAAACACAAGATGTGATGTCAATATTATCAGCATCTCCAAAATAAAATTTTATATAAATATATTCATTCTCATGTTTATAAAAATATCACTTAATATAATTGTTGTTCTAAGACAGTCTGGATATATCTGCAGAGGAATGGTAAAAATCAGAAATTGACACAATCAGATTAAGAATACATTTTCATATGTACGCAATGAATAAGAAAACAAAATATATCAAATAATGTGTTAATCAGGAAGCCTCAGAAAATTTAAAATAAATTCAACACTATTTATATTGCTTAAAGCCCTCATATGAAATCTACTCTGTCACTACAATGGTTTTAACTAAATTATGCATATTTAGCAAAATGAGTATATTCTTAACATTACATAGACCAATTAACTGGGAACAGCATCTTTAGTAATATGGCACTTTTAGAGTGTTCTTTTAATTTTAAAAGTTGAAGATACAGTCAAGTCAAATCTTCCATTCTGAGATATACCTTCCTCTAGCAAGAAAAATCTATTGTGTGGCAGTATCCTGGCACAAAAACTTATTCTGAGGCAACTGTAAATCTATATCACCATTTTCTCAGCTACTTCGCTCAACCGGATGGGGCTCATAGTAGCCCCGCATCATGCAAAGATTTACAAATTATTTTACACTACCTTTCCTATTTTTGTGATCTTTATGAAGAAATTCTAATTGATTTTTCTAATTTTTTCACCTCTTCAGAAAACTAGGAAGATTTTTCCTGGGAGATATAGTTCTGTGAAACCAACTGCACCCAGGGGAAAATACCAAACTTTTCTTTGTTCACCACAATCATTTTTGCTTCTTCTTAGGAGGAAAAAGAAGATGAAGGACCGACTTCAAGAACTAAAGCAACGAACAAAGGAAATTGAACTCTCAGGAGACAGGCAAATATCAACTACAGAAGCAGAGGAACAAGGAATAATTCTGCAGCAAGCTGTTATTTATGAGAGAGAGCCTGTAGCTGAGAAACACCTACATGAAATTCAAAAACTACAGGAAAGTATTAACGATTTGACAGACGATGTTCAAAAATTTGGGCAACAACAGAAAAATCTAGTGGCTTCAATGAGAAGGTTTAGTCTACTTAAGAAAGAGTCTAGCATTACAAAGGAGATAAAAACCCAAGCAGAACACATTAATAGAGGTTTGGATGATTTAGTAAAAGAAGTTAAAAAATCAGAGGCTGAAAATGGTCCATCATCAGTGGTCACAAGGATACTTAAATCTCAGCATGCTACGATGTTCCGCCATTTTCAGCAAACTATGTTTATATACAATGACACAATAACAGCAAAGCAAGAGAAATGCAAGACATTTATTTTCCGTCAGCTTGAAGTTTGTGGAAAAGAAGTGCCTGAAGAAGAAGTAAATGATATGCTTCATCAAGGAAAATGGGAAGTTTTTAATGAAAGCTTGCTTACAGAAATCAATATTACTAAAGCACAACTCTCAGAGATAGAACAGAGACACAAGGAACTTGTTAATTTGGAGAACCAAATAAAGGATTTAAGGGAGCTTTTCATTCAGATATCTCTTTTAGTCGAGGAACAAGGAGAAAGTATCAACAATATTGAAATGATAGTGAATGGTACGAAAGAATATGTTAACACCACTAAAGAGAAATTTGGACTAGCTGTAAAATATAAAAAAAGAAATCCTTGTAGGGTATTGTGTTGTTGGTGTTGTCCATGCTATGGCTCAAAATAAAGAAGCTATTTTAGAAAGTTTTCCAGCTTTAGAATGAAGAATGTCCCATATTTCAGTGTCTTGTTTTTCTTCATTTCGTAGATCCATTCACATACCTTTCTCCTTTAGCCCTCACCCACTAGAATTGTAGAAACTTCGGAGCCAGTAACATAAAACAAGTCTTCATTTACTGAACTAAAAACAGTATATTTGCCTTTAAACTCACAGATTAACTACTGACAATGAGATGAATGATCTTAAGTTTCTAATCAGGTATCACATTCTATTGTGTATTTTTGTAATGCCCAATTCCTTATGAGATGAATGTTATTAAGTGACAACTACTTAAACAATCCTTTTGGGATCATTTGAGAGTATTTTAGTAGTTAAGAATTATATAAAATAGGACCTCAAAGAATGCTATAATCAAGCAAAATTAAACTAGAAGCCATATTAAATCTTTTATGCTCAGATAAGTCAGTTAACTCAGTGGTCAACAAATCCTGAATAGTTTAGTTGTTAACTGGGAGCTGAATCTAGTTTAAGGCCTAAGAAGGTAAATTAAGACACTCAGGTCCATTCAGGACACTCTGTATTACAGATGAGAAGGGTTGGCAAATAAAGTAAAAAAAAAAAAAAACAAAGGTAATTGTAGTTTTGAAAGTTTCTCCATTGATTTATTGTAAAGCCAGGCACTATACTACAGGCTAGGAATACAGTTTGAACTCACAGAGTAGAGGTTTGTAATTCACATTCTAGTGGAGAAAACAGATAATAAATACAAATATTAGATTATTTAAGTTCTCAGCAGAGACTTAAAATGAGGGTATAATGAGATAGAGACTATCAAGGTGGCTACTTTTGGTTGGGTGGTCAATGAAGGCCTCTCTCAAAAGTTATATTAAGTGAAGATATGAATGATGAGGATAAAGGTGGGTATATTCCAGGCACAGGACACAAAGAGTAGAAAGACTCCGAAGAGGGTATAATTTACTCCATTCAAAAAAGAAAAAAAGTCTATGGCCATGCCCCCCTGAACACGCCCAATGCCATCTAATCTTGGAAGCTAAGCAGGGTCGGGCCTGGTTAGTACTCGAATGGGAGACCACCTAGGAAGACCAGGTGCTGTAGGCGTAAAAAAAACAGCAAACAAACAAACAAAATGAGCAGTACGGCTATATCATAGTAGCAAAAGGGCAATGAGGTAAGACATGAAGTTAAGAAAAGTCAGCGGGGGCTAAAGTTCAGAGTAAGTCTGAAGTTTACAGCAGGTATAATCAATGAAAAGCCCCCAGGCTGGTTTTGGCCTGGGAATAATGTTATATAATTTATAGTTGATAAAAATCATTCCATCTACTGTATGGAGAATTAGTTAGAATGGATTTAGGGCAGGTGAGTAGAGGACAACATATAGGTATAGAAAACAATTAGAAGTTTAATGTAGTAGTCCCAGTAAGAGATGATGGAGACTTGGACTAAGATGAAAATGAAAGTGATGGGGATAGCAGCAGTACTAATATTCAAGATTAATAAAGAACTTGCTATGTCTCAGCATTATTCTAATAACTTTACAAGTTTAACGAGAACATTGAGATACAGCAATGTTAAGCAACCTTCTTTGTCCCAGGTCACAGAAACTCTATCTAGAGAATCAGAATTTGAACTCAGGCAGTATGATTCCAGAACCAGCTCTTAACTACTGTATATACTATACAGTGGTGATAAAAAAAAAAAAATAGACTAACTTGTGAGATTTAAGAGGTAGAAACTACTGAACATTGATTGGATAATATTGCCATTTACTGAGATGGGAAAAGACAGAAATGAAGGTTTCAGAACTAGGGGTGGGGGTGAGAAGAAATTAAGAATCCTATTTTGAACAAGAAAATCTATGATGCTAATAAAATGTCCAAGGTGAGGTTTCTAAGATATTAGTTATGTGAGTAGCAGCTCTTAGGAGATGTCAGGGCTAAAAGTACAGATTTGGGTCATTTGAGTCAATAAATGGTATTTAAATTCACTTAAAAGTACGTATATATAAAAAAACTATAGGCCAGAAAAAAACCTGGGGTATCCCAAAATTTAGACTTAAAGCAGAAGGAGAGTTAATAAAGGGAACTAAGAAGGAACCATCAGTGAAGTAGGAGGAAAACCAAGAAATGTGCTGTAATGCAAAAGAAGAGTGTTTAAGCACAAGTGGAATATATTGAGGAAAGAATGTGATATGAAGAATTCTTTCCAGAAATTTGAATAGAGGATTATAAAAAGGAGTCAATAGCTGGAGAGGACTGCAGAGTCAAAGGATTCCATGATAAAGTTAAGAAACACACGAGCACATTCTGCTGATGGAATGATCCACAGAATTGAAATAAGAGAGAGAAGTGATAATACACCAAAGTAGAAAGGGCTGGAATCTGGAGTACAAATGGAGAAGCTGGCCTTGAATAGGAGCAGAAACAATTCTTCCATATGTAGGAAAGAAGGCAAGGTTTAGGTATAAAGGCAGATAGTTGAGCAAATTTGGTGGCAGAAAAGTGAGAGAATTCCTATGTGACAGTTTCTATTTCTTCAAAGAACAATGAGGCAAAATTACTAACTAAAAGCACAGTAGGATTATGGTAGAAGAAATATATATATACATATATATCTTAATACCATAAAATAATTTGTCATTTAGAAAATATAAAGAAATTTAAGAGCTTTCCACTGTTCAATTATCAAGCATTACTGAAAAGATGTTTCACATATGTCAGCTTCAAATGTTTAAAAAACATAAAAAAGATGAATTTAGAACTGATGATAAACTTCCCAACTAATCAGGTAGTGACAGACATATTTCTTCTGTCCCTTCTAAAGTTGTGCTATATCCTTTTATCTATGGATGCTTATTTATAATTGTTCCTAAATTGTTTATCATGAAAACTAAGAATATTAATTACCATGTAATAGTCATTAGCATAATTTTATCCAGCTGGATTTGTAAAATGATTTTCTATTAGCATTTATATCTATACATAGTGGTTTTAAAGCAAGATTTCATAGAAATTTTCATAGCAATGTAGCACACACAATTTTCATTGTTATATTTTAAAATCATTGTATCACCCTAAGCAACAAAACTAACATGATATTTAACTAATTAGTTGCTGAACATTTTGTGTATTTTATACTTCATACACTTAATAGGCACTAAAAGTAGTAATTTTTACTGAAAATTACTACCTTAATGAAAAAAATTCTCAAGCATTGGAGGCATACTATTAGTAATCTAATGTTTCTGAAAGTATACAATATTAAAAATAAAAATATGAGCACTTGGGCTCATTTTCTTACTAAACAATATTATTTTCTGTAATCAAAAGCTTCATGTAGTCTGGATACATATGATGAGACTTTAAAAGTGGATCTCCTAATTGATCTCTACCTGGACACAACATATCATCAACAATAACTATTTATATCCATCATCACATTTATAGAACACTAGTAAAACGCTGCACTAGATGCTTTAAACACATTACTTGGAATTCACGTGATAATGTAGGTATTAAAATCCTTTTTTACAAGTAGAGATACAGAAGTTCAGAAAGATTTAAGTAAGCTATCCAAGGCCTGTCTGATTCCAAAGCCCACACTTGCCCCTAGACTAGTAATTTTCAATTTCTGCTATACATCAAAATGATCTGGAAAACCTGCGAAAAAAATCAGAAGCATCCCTGGCCCTATGCTCTCGAATTCAGGAGGCCTGGGTTGATGTAGGTATTCCCTAGACAACTTGCTGTCTAACGACACAGCCAACAGAAGTTTTTTTTTTTTTTTGGTATTTTGTCTTTATTAAATAGAGTGTGTTGGGGCATGGGAGGGGAAGGATGGGAACTTCAGAAAGCTCCTTGTGCATAAATTACCTAGGAAGTCAACCAGCTGAGAAGCTTCACTGTAAACTAGAGCTGCTATGAGTGAAGATGGATGCCATCAGGGACAAACAGGAGCCCTCAGCAAGAAAGTTTGGAGGTGAGTCAACTGTATAACTGAATAAGGTTTATGAAGATGACAGCTTGGTAAAATTCCATTGAAAAAGAGACATCTTAAGCCAATGGACCCTGTAAATACAGTGAGTAGAGGTTTCACATGGTAAAAATAGAAATTAGGGGACTCACCACTATATCTAAGGATTAAGTGATTTAGTGACATAGGTAATCCATACTTTCATACTTAATAGGTGTCTAGGATTCTAAAAAAGACCCAGGTTCTCCTATCATTATTTAAAGGTCTAACTTAGTAAAAGTACATTTGACTCAAAAGTACATTTGACTCAAAATCAGTATTAGGAAAATCCATAACCTAGTGTACTTATAATAAAGAATATGATTTAAAAAAACTTGTAAACTACCATTTTCCTGTAATATTATCTAGAAGAAAGGTGAGTCTAGTAGGCATATAAAGGTTGGAGACAAATATCCCTATTGAAAGAGCAATAATAAAAGCTTGATTATTGTTTCTCCTAATATGGAAACTAGCTGTCATGGTTTTTAACTTTTTGGTCATGAAATCCTTTCGGAATTTGATGAGAGCTAGGATCTGCTCCCAAGAAAAATGCATATGCACTCAGAATTGTTTGTGATTTCAGAGTGTCCTGGGAAGCCATCCGTGGTGCAAAGACTTCCAGGTCAAAAAATTCTTTTTTTTTATGGAAATGTTCATAACGCCTAGTAAGATGGGATCAGAGATATGTTTTCTTCCCTGAGTGAAACTTCTCTATATTTATCACTTCTGTTGTGAAACATCCAATTTGTGAGGTTTGGCCAAAAGATAAATTAGGTCATATAACTCCACAGAAAGGCAGACAGTGTGTAATGAGAAAGTGGCACCATTCCGAGAGTTCGAGTGTGCTAACCCAAGTAGAACTGTTATTTTCCTGGGAGGAAATTTTAGCCTGTGGATCTCCAGAGTTATCCAATGATAAATGTTAGGGGGTTCAACTATAAAAAGGGAGGGTAATTTACTATTTCCCTGATGCCAACTTTCAAGACTTTACTAGGCAGGAGAAATGTGCCTTCTTATAACATCAATGTAACCTTGGGCTGCTGAAAATTTCAATAGGTAAAGATGTTTAAAATATCTCCCAGCTCAGTTCTTTCCATAGGTAATCAACAAAGAGTACCTTGTATTATTAATGAAAAATTTCTATGGTGGATGTTGAACTTCAAATTTGGGATTACTGCTAATTTCAGTGCTGTATATAACAGCAAAAGTTTTTTCTCCTGGAAAGGTCTTCTTTATCTGTCAAGATTATCTAGTTTTAAGTTTTAAATTAAGTTACAAATGGTTAAAGCAATAGTGTGGGGAGGGCCATGAGGGTAGATAACATAATTTACACCTTAGTTAATCAGAGTATAGGTTCATCTCTATAGTAGCTATGAGAGAAAAAGACTTTCTAGGTAAATAAACAGGTTAACACAACAACAGAGCAGAATGATTGCATGACATCTAATTTTGCTCTCTTTAGAAGGAATATAAATCACTTTTATGTGTTTACTAAAATGGATTCTTGGTATAGCTACAGTAAGGTTTCCATTATTATATACAGCTGAATATGAAAGAAGAATTACAATATTTTACAGTTTTTATTATAGAAGAGACGTTCTACCATTAAGTCCAAAGAAGTAAAGTGACTTGCCAAGATCATAAACAAATTCACACTAGCTTTTAGAATCCAAATTTCAGAATCTGTCTTCTGTCTAAACACAATTTTTCAACTTTCCACCATTTATTTCAGAGATTTTAATTTAAAATATTAAGCTGATTAAGTGGTAAATGCTATAGAGCTGCCAAACAGAACTTCTGAGCTAAAAAACAGAAGCTTAGTTATGGTCTATGATTCTCGTTTTTCAAGAGAACACTCAAATCTACGACATAAAGTGAAATTTGACTGCGGCTTCATTTGAGAGGACATATGCTGTCGGGCTGCTGTGCAGAAGCAAGTCTGGCAGAGACAGATTGTCCAGAGTTTGCTACTGTGGTCACCTAATCCATTTTCCATAGCATGAATGGATCCGGTTCTATCAATTTGTAATTTTGTGATTATAGACAAGATTCTCATTCTTCAGGTTTATTTCCTTTCTTGAAGGAATAAATCTTCTCACAGGTCTGTGTTTGTTCTCTATTTGCTTATTATTAGAGGGTGGGAAAAGAAAGTCATCTAGGTGCTTAAGTGAGTTGTGAGAGGCTTTGTGAGACCTAAATCAACTAGTTTAAGCTCAGACAAGATGCTGACACTGGATTTTGTAGTTGAGAGATTCAGACGTCTATGGGCAGGAATCTGTGTGCAACGAGAGAACTATAGACCGCCTCCTAATTCAGGTACCCTCCTCATACTCTCCACAGCCCACCAGCCCCTAGCACTGAGCTTAGTAAGGGTTCTGCTGGAGGCCCTTCCCACTTATTATCTAGTGGACTTTTCAATGTCGTGCCTATTAGGTGCTAGAGTTATATCAATTAAAAAACAGAATTCCCTAGCTTCATGGAGCTATGAAGGCAACATACAGGACTTAAATCAGAGGAGTACTAAAATGATCAAATGTGGATTTTAAAAAGAACACTCATATCTTTTTTATATTCTTGTATTATTTCACTTGTTAAAGCACATACCAGTTTTGTAGTTTGAAAAATATCAAATAAAGAGCTCCTGCTAGGAATGTAGAGAGCCTGGAGGATAAACAAGCCAGCTGGGAAGGAGGAAGACTCTTTAAGAAACCTTTGCTATCAGTAATACAGGGGAGAGGTGAGGAGGGGATGAAAGAAGATAATACCAAAGGGAATATAGAGCAGTAAAGATATTCACATGATATTCAAACAGTAACATCAACAAGAGAAATTAATTGTAGTTTAGAAAGGAAAACGTAAACAAGAGAACTTCCAAATATGGGACTGCAGTAGATATTCAAGAGGGATTTATAAACATAAAAAAGGGTGGAATATCAAATTTTATATAATATATGATCACCACATACATTTCACGTTTTATAAAAATATGCACAGAAAGTTCATCGAAATGTTAGAAGTGGTTAGTTTTGCATGGTAGGTCAATCATTTTTTTTAACTCATTCTTTCGTATACCTTCTAAATTTATTAAGAACATACTTTTTTGTACATATTGTATTTTTTGGAGCACATTCATTTCAAAAGGTAGTTTACCTTTATTAATAAAAATTCTATGGTTGTAAAACTCCAGTGAGAAAAAGTGGTCACATGGTAAACCATTCTATATTTCATAAACATATTATACCATCCATAATTACTTCTCATGTCTGTGAGATCTCACTGATTATGCAATTATAATGATGAAGCAATCACCCTAGTTGTGGCGTTTTTTTTCCTCCCCCTATTCTGGAAATTCACTTGCTGAGAGAAGTGACAGTACTTAAAGCAGATATCTTGCTGACAGTTATTTGATTACTCAGTAATCACCGTAGTCACTTATGAATTGTGTGTTCCTGCCATGGTGCTTTTCCACATGCATCTATCTGCATGACTGACTCTCTCACCTCAAGTGTCATCTTCTCAATAACATCTACTATGTTTATCCTAATTATAAGAGTAATATGCTTCTTTTACCACCACCACCACCATAAGATTCCCAATCTTCTTTTATCTGCTTTATTTTCAATATACTTATCACCTAAAGTACAACATAATTTATTTATTACACTTATTGCGTGTCTCACTCCCTAGAATATGGGTTTCTGAGCTCATACATGAATTTTAATTGTTTTTGTTCCCAAATGCATCCCTATCACCAGAACAATCCTTCGCACACAGTGGATGCTCAATAAATATTTGTCGAATTAGCACATGTATGAAATAAAAGAATAAATTAATTAAATAACTATTAGGTTAAAAAAAGGCATACACAATTACTTTACGAATGAATATGAGTCATTAATACTTTTTACTCTAGAAGTCATTGGTTTTCTACTTAAACATTTGAGAGACTAATTTAGCCTATGGGGTTCAACGAACTTCACTCTTCCTATATATCTATTAAAGTTTCCCCCAGATTCAAAAAGGTAAGTTACATAAATCAAATAACTTCTCTGACTGGTTAAATGCATAAAAATTAAACAGTATAAGCTTTACCATAAATGATGCAACAAAGTTTTACTTTTTGTAATCAGAGTTTCCAAACTTTCTCATTTTAAAATGTTCATTTACTACTGAGGACCAATGAAAGAAATTTTTTAAATGCTTAGTAAGAATCTCAAGAATGAGAGGAAACTGACAAGACAAGGGCACACATCCAACTTACATCCAATTTTAAAAGCAAACTACTTTCACTTTACCATGTCTTGTACTTATACCACCATCTGGTGTTTACTGTGCAGAAATGTTATGAGGGCAGGTAATGCAAAAGTCCTTTGTCACTTTGTTTTTTAAAAAAGGTTTAGGCAGCTGGACAAAATGATATAAGCACATGGCTAAGTGAGAGATCTCATATTTAATTTGGAAATATAAAAGTAAAAATTGAGAAATCAATGTGCCATTAGAAGAATAAACTATTTAAATAACTTTCAAATAAGAATACTCTTCAAGGAAAAAAGGACAAAGGCAAAATATAAATTAGTTATTAAAAGAGAAAAAATTTAAAAAACATTCTAGAATCTGTTAAACAATTTCAAAATGCAAAATTTGATAAAAAATAAATTATCAAATAAAGAGTTCATATTTCACTACCCAGGAGATAATAATTATAAGGCTTCTTCATAATATAGCCTTAACCCCTAATCCCTATGGAGAGCATTATAACAAGGCCTTGGCATATTAATGACTCCTAGTTAATTGCATACATTTTATCATACTAGAGCGTGACTATTTTAGCTTATTCACAGTATTTTGTAACTTCTGTAAATTTCTTCACTGGCTAATGCCATCGTCTCTATGTTTACAATAACACCAACATTACTTACACCAATATAGGCTTTCCTGATATCCTAGGATGTCTTAGCACTTCCGACATTGTCTCTTTTGTCTCTTCCATTCTCTCTTCATCACTGGAATCCACAACAAATATTACTCCATAGGACTCGGCATAGTAATTCTTCCAGATTCCTCGAATTCTTTTTCCACCTCCCAAGTCAAAGATGGTGACTTCAAACTTTCCTTGTCTAAGGTCAATTTTGGAAAATCCAACAGTAGGAGCTACATCTTCAGGATACTCTGTTTCAAATGATATATATAAAAAAAAATCTTTAGACTTTAAATTAAAAACAATTTAACTTCATAATTTAAATGTCATAAAGAGTATCATACTTTAGTACTAAATGGAATGTTAATTATTTCCTTACAAAATAAGCATTATATCTAAGCATACTGGTTCAGAGGAAGAATGGATACTATTAAATATCCATGCATGTAGGAATTCCTGTCTGTTTTTGTTTTTATTGCTATAACCCCATCTACTACAATAATGCCTACCATATAACAGGTACTTAATAAGTACCTGTAGAATGAATAAATAAACTTTTGCCTTTAAGGCTATTAACTCTCCAAGTTACAAACAATAAAAATTTCAACCCTGTAACACCACAGACATCCCCAGGGACCATTACAACTTGTGTGGAGTTATAAAGAAAATCTGAACATTTACAGAATAGCTTAAAAGAACTGAACACAAGCTATGAAGAATAGGACCACTCTTTTTTAATTAACTGAATTCAAGCTATAACTGGAATAGACTTGTGAAGGCAGCCGACAAATATAAAGAGTAGATTTAATTCCTACAGGAACTTGTTTTGGATGTTTCTATAAATTTATAATTGAATTTTTTTTTTTTTTTAACTTCTGTATATGACAACACAAAGAAGGTTCAGGATGTATATAACTGCCAAGGAGTGATAATGACAAGATATTAAATGGATCACTAAGGTTCAAAGAAGACTTGAACTAGAAGCTGGGCTTAGGCCTTAAAGCTAAGGAGGATTTAGACAGAAGAGTTATCTAAGTAACAGAAATGGCAAAGGCAAGAAGTATGAACAAGTTGAACACTGTGGTTGGAGCAAACCCTTACAACTATGAGTGCAGATTGAAGAGGGTTCTGAAGATAGAGAATTGGGAGCCACAGAAGGTATCTCAGCAGACTGATAATATAATTAAGTTGACTAAAGTAGTGCTTTAATAAGGTTCATCTTTGCAAAAATCTCTAGAACTGGATGGAAATGAAAGTGATAGCCACTTTTCAGAGAAGTATAAAAATAAAAAGAGAAGAACAGAAAGAGAGACATTATGAAAGAGTAATAGAACCTGGTGACTCAATAGTTATAGAGAAGAGTTCAAACTTCATGTTTGTCCTTCCATTCTCTCTTCATCTCTGGAATCCACAACAAATATTATTCCAAGGTGCTTTGCTTACAGCTGAATGACCACAAATTACATGAGGCTTTTAAAATTTAAATCAATTAAAATTAAAAATTCAGTTCCTCAGTTGTATTAACTACATTTCAAGTGCTCAAAATAACATGGGGCTAGTTGTTCACTCTATTGGACAGAGCCAATAGATAACATTTCCATCACTGCAAAAAGCTCTAGTGACCAACACTAGTTTAGAGGGTCTTATTCCACATTCAGTAATCACAAATTATATTTGCTATTACAAAGACTAATTCGAAAGGCATTAGCTTCCAGACTCAGGTGTGACTGAGAAACAGACGTGCAGTATACCACTCCCTGTCAGCAAGCACTTGGGGGCAGTTCACATACACAGCTCCTACAAAGTTAACAGAGACATTACGAGTCACATTTTTGTAAGACCTCCCTTATTTAGACAGAGAAAGAGCAAGTTTAGAAGCAATATAAAGCAGTCTGATATTCCAAAAACAGGATTACACTAGTCATTTAAAAATGTGAATCTAGTCCAGGCCAGAACTGATTTCCACAGTTAAAATAGGCTTGAAGTCTGATTTAAGAGATACCCCCAGGACATTATCAGTGAAAATAAATAACTATGCTAGAGTAGGAGTAAGAGAACTAACATGTATGGAACACTTTCTCAGTACCAGGACTTCGTCAGGCATTAGGATGCAAAGGTAAATAAGATAGGGTTGCTGTCTTTAGAGAATACACAGCACAATACAGATAGAATATTAATAAGAATAGCACAAGAACCTATATGTTTCATGAAAAAGTCTAGAGAGGTTAGTGTGAAGGTATTATGGACTGCATGTTTCTGTCCCCATGAAACTCTTATGTTGAAACCCTGACCCCCAATATATTTGAAGGTGGGGCCTTTGGGAGGTAATCAGGTTTAGGTTAGTGATAAGGTTTGTGAAGCCCCCCATGAAAGGAAAAGTGCACAAGAGAGCTTGTTTCCTCTTTCTCTCCTCCACCTGAGGACACAGTGAGAAGATGGCTATCAGTAAACCAGGAAGAGTGTCCTTCACCAAGAATCTGACCATGCTGGCACCGTGATAACATACTTCCAGCTCCCAGAACTGTGAGAAATAATTTGTTGTTTAAGTCACCCAGTCTATGGTATTAACAGCCCAAACTAACTAAAACAGAGAGCATTGTTTATAGCATTCTGTTATAGCAGCCCAAACTAAGATAGAAGGCATTCGTGAGGAAAAGAGTAAAGAGGAAGAAGGGGTGAGTTATGGTATACGAAAGCTTCAGAGACAAGTGAAATGGGAGTGAAGTCTTAATAGCTACAAAATTATAACAAAGAAAGGGAAAAAAACATTCTAGGCAGGGGAGTAACGTAAGTACAGATAAAATGATGGCAAGATTCCCAGGAAAGCAATTCAGATTAATTTCTTCAAGGTTACACAGTAGGCAGAGCCAGGAATCAAATCCAGGTCTTCAGGACTTTAAAAGCCTGTTTCTTTTGATACATGGAATACCCTCCCCTACTTCTCCATTCTTTTCTCCAGTTCCTACTCATGATTCTGTGTTTCAAAACTCAAAACTAAATGTTCAGGTTACGACTTTCTCTAAAAATCCTTCTCTGATGATTCCTTCCTACTTCTAGTATAATTTACACCATCTATCATAAATTCTGTCTTCTTGCTGGGACCTATGTCTGCATCCTTAGCATTCAGCACAAAACATATAGTGGCTCAATATTACACTACTAGGCTGCTAAGATAGCTGAAGCTGCTGTCTTTACATCCATCCTTCTTTTTGTCCTTCCATATACTTATCCATCCATCTATGTTTGTAAACATTTATTGAAGGCCTATTTAGCTTGGGCATCATATAAGAACCAGGGATACAAAGAAATATGGTCCACAATCCTGAGAATTTCAGTAAAGTATATGTTAAGACAATCTCTAGAGAGTGTAAGATAATATGAAAATATATGATCAATAACTACTTATTGAACAACTGTTATATGCTAAGCACTGTGAAAGGTCCTAGATATACAGATTAATAAAATCCATCTTATCTTACAGAGCTCTTACACAAAGTTAAAAAAAAAACAAAACATATATAAACAAATAAATACAAAAAATGAAGATGTATTAATATCCAACAATGCTAGGGGCCAATTTAGACAAAGAACTTTCCCATCTAAAATACCAATAGTTCTTTAGGAACTATTAGGAAGAAGCATTGAACAGTCAGAGAATCCTGGATTTTTCAGCTGAGCACATAGCCTTTTAGGATAAAGAATATAATCCCTGGTCTATATGGCAGCTAGGAGTGGCTGCGAGAACAGGTTCTAAGAGTGTGCTAGTAGTGTATAGGTTCTAGGTAATGTGCTGGTGGTGCACTGTTAAATGTTTAACTCAAGTTGGGGAAATTTGATATGTAGATTTGCCAATTTCCATGGTGTAAATACCCACACTATAGCCAATTTCCAACAACCAACATGAGGTACCTGAAAACAGAGTTGGTAAGAGATGTGCCTATTTGGTTCTCACTAACTGATATGAGCCAATAAGCACAAGTAGGAGCCAGCTCCAGAACACCACTGATTCTAGTCAATGGCAAGTGAGCTGCAGTGATGCAGTGGCTTCTGGTCATACACTTAAAGCAAAAGGGGATGGCCTCCCCTTGCCCTTTACCTCTTCCTTCTTGCTCAAATGCACATATAGCTATAAGCTACCTTGGACCAGTGAGGCATGGGAGAACACTTGGAATGGCAAAGCAAATAGAAGGAATTTGAGTCCCTAATACCATGAAGCTGCTATGCCAGCCCTAGACTACTTTTGCCTGCATTGCTATGAGAAAGAAATAAACTCCTGTTTTGTTAAGCCACTGTTATTTTAGGTCTCTGTTAGAACAACCAAACCTATATCCAACTAATACAATCATTCTGACAGCTGTGAAAAAGAGAAGTTGATTGAAAGAAGTTAAGCTCAAGACAGGAAAAGTACTCTTATATTAGGAAACTATAATAACATTATAGATGAAAGACAGTAGGGATCTGAATTTAGACAACGGCAATGTTGTTAGAGAAGAAACAGATATATGTAAAAAATATACATCAAAAACAAACAAACAGAGAAGAGCCAAGAATAAGTTGAAGAGTAGAAGCCATGGGCAAAATGTTTTAAGAACTCTGCCTTCTACAAGTTCATGGCCTGAACTGAGACATCAAAATGAGTAAAACTACCCTTTGGGAATTTACCATCTGGAGAGGTGAAGAGATACATGAACAAAAGGGCAATTAAGTAGTGACACAAGCAGGTCTAGGTTAAGAGCAGGCCAAAACAGAGGAAGTTGTAAATTCTCCTGCTGGTGGTGGTAATGTGTGAAGGCAGCAAGTGATCGCAAAGGACTTCATAAAGAAAGAGACTATATGACAAAAATACATCTTTAGAGATATGTAGATATTCTATCTTTAAAGATAAGTAGATATTCTCTAGTAAGACAAGTGGGAAGAGCATAAACAAAAATACAAAGGCATGAAAAGGCTCAATTTGGAAAACTTGAAGTAGTTCTACATAACCGGAATTTTTTTTTTTAAAGAAAAAAGGTAAGAAATCACTGGGGTAGGCTGAAGAGTAAATATGAGATGAAGAACAAACAAAGAGCCAGAGGGGAGCACAATGTTGAAGGCAGCTTTGACTATCTGTTCATGATATGACATCTTGAGCATTTTCTAAACTTAGATAAAGAAACTGATAAAGGTAGAATTTGGAAGAGGAGGGGCCTAATGGAAAGAGAATATTCTAAGTACACACAACAAATGAGATGATCTGATTAGCAGATTCTTAGATTCTGCTCCCTTTAATGTGAGACTATGAAGAAATGGAAGAAGGGAAGATGTTTAAATAAGGGGTGATGGCCTGTAGGCCAAATCTGACTCACCGCCTGTTTTTATATGACCCTCGAGCTGAGAATTTGTTTTATATTTTAAAATAACTGCAAAAAAAAAAACCCCAAAAGAATAATATTTATAACATCAAATTTTAGTGTCCATAAACAAAGTTTCACTGGAACATGACCACGTTCATTTGTTTATATACTATCTATGGCTGCTTTCAAACTACTATATCAGATTTGTATATTTGGGAAAAAGCATATGGCCCTCAAAGTCCAAAATATTTACTATCTAGTTCTCTACAGAATTTTGCCAAGCCCTGGTTTAGATGATGACAGTGAGTATATGGGAGGATATAACCTAGGAGATAGCATGAAGGGTACCAAAAAGGCTTTAGAAGAATCTGCAGACAACAATAAGTCATTTACATCTAATGTTACATAGTTAAACTGGGGGTGACGAAATGTTTTTCTCCAACAGCAAGTTTTGTAAGGTGTTAATTTTCTTTCATAATCTTCCATAAATAAAAGTTCCTTAACTATTTGTATGCATGGTATCTTGTTGCAACATCCATTTTTAGAAACAAATACATGTCAGGCTTTCTCTCAATTCTTACCGTTAAAACGTCTGGTTTGTGCTACATCATCTGGGTACACAAAAAAACTCACTAGCAGTTACTTCTATATTGTAGACCAAAGCACTGATTAAGACTAAATAAAACCATCCAATGAGTTGTCATATATATGACATAAAACCCTTTAAGGACACAGAGGACCTATCTTTAACATAACTCCAAAAATTGCATTTCATATTGAAAAAGAGAATCAAGAGATGTCAAGATAGCTATGCTGGCTAACTATATTTCTACCTCCATTTCATTTAGTTGTAGCCTTGTGATTAAATTCAGGCTAAGAAAATCTAAGTGGAACTAGACGGGTATCCTTAAAGACAGGGGCAGGTTTTTTTTTGTACTTTTTCCGTCCTGCGGACTAGAAGACAGATGTGATCCCTATTACTGATAAAAGACCTCAATGAGCCTCTGCATCTTTGCATTTATTCAAATCTGAAACATGATAATAGGCTGGTATTATTAAACCTGAGTCTATTTACCACATTAGCCAAAAGTATAGTAAGACTATAAAGTAATGGAGTGCACACTATCTGTACTCAATGAATACGTAATAAAGCAATTTAAATAAATAAATAATTCAAAATAATTTAATAATAAATATTTTCAGCTTACCTCCTTGGATTCCCTTTGCCGTTGCCGTTTTACCAGCATTATCAAGTCCCACCATCACAAGAGTCACCTTTCTTAGAATAAAAATTTTAAAATCACTTTCTGAATTAATTCAATATTGGGAAAAAATAAAAGCAAATTCATTCATTCAAGCAACACTAAAGGAGCATCTACTATATACAAGACAATCTGCTAGATAGTGGGGTAAAACGATGAATAAAATATATATTGAAAAAGTAAAATTCATGAAGAATTCCTTTCAAGCATCATCCTTTGTTCTCTAAGCCAAAAAGGAGAAATTATACAATAGATAACCCAAAAGATAGAAAAGAAATAAGAAAAAGGAAAAAAAAGAGAGAAATGGAAGGAGGGAGATGGATTCTAACATATGAGTTATTTATCATGGCTAAAGACTCAATTTTCCAGTTAACTGAATTCTAAGGATTATTGCAAATCTGTTTTTTCTTGTGAAATTACGTAAGAAAAGAATTCTAGATACTACTTGTGTGCTCAATTGTTTTCAGCTATGTACAGCACCTTATCAAGTATAAATCTTTAATATAATATAGTAACATGATTAATAAGTGCTAACACATTTTGAAAGAGGTCTACAATTATAAAGCTTAAAATGTTTCTGATGATATAGCTAAATATCACAGAGTCAGAAAAAAAGTCTAGTTCAATTTTACAACTGAAAAAAAATTAAGCCCAGAGTCATAAGACAATGAGTAGGTTACAAAGTCAGAACCAGAACCTAATTCACCTAAATCCTAGGAACTTCTTAAACCTGGGACAGGTGTAAAGGAACGCACCTATTATACTGGTTCTATTTACTTGATGATTCAGTCCACCACTAAAGCTCATTTCTGTTCCAGGCTAAACCACAGTACAATATAAGAGCTGAGACCATCCATTAACATCATGGATTTCAAAGGGCCTCACTCCAACAGGGTAGAGTCAGAGTTTCCGCCAAGTACAGTTATTCTTCACCGGCAATCATCCCAAGAAAGGTTAAAAAACAAAAC